TGTCTCAAAAAAACAAACGAAAACAAGAGATAAAGGTGTAAAGTAGTAACAGCTGGGCCTCAAAGTGACCATAAACAACTCTTTCAAGTAGAAAGAGAAAGGGAAAGAAAGCGTGTTCTCCCCTAGAAAGACCCAGCATTTCATGATCCTGCACCCAGACTGGTTAGAGGAGGGACTGGCAAACTTTTTCTGTAAAGGGCCAGAGAGTGAATATTTACAGCTTTATGGGCAGTATGCTTGCAACTTCTTCCTTGCAACTACTCAAGTCTGCTGTTGTAACATGAAGCAGCCTTAAACAATATACAGATGAGTGAGCATGAACGTGTGCCAATAAAACTTTATTTACAAAAGCAGGCGGAGGGCCAAATTTGGCCATAGTCTGCCAATGCCTGCACTCGAGCAATGCTAGAACCATCTTTTCTTAAATGAGCCCAACTCTCTTGGAACTGTGTCAAAACCAGCAAAGTCCATGATATTATTGACCTTGAATATCTTTCTCGACAGGAGCAGAGTCCTCCTGGCCTTCGATGCTTCCCATTTCGCACTCCACTAAAGAAAAATCAAAATGCTGCTTTTTTCAAAGACTGCACATTCAATACCTTACACGAACTCGAGGTGGAGCTTGTGAGATTTGTGTCCGAAGTGCGGAGTCTTAAAGGTGCCATGGCAACAGGCAATGTCAGTAACCTCAAGCTTCGAAGGTCAGAGACGCCCACAGATCCATACCATGTCACGATCTATGACATATGGGGAGAAGAAAGCTCTAGCTGAATGGATTTGTATGTCAAAGTAGGAGAGAAAAAAGTTGAGTGTTGACAAACTGTATGCAAACTAATAAAAGTATTCTGAAGAAAAGAACTTCCACGTTTGAGATCTTGCTTCTTTTTTCACTAGAAGAAAAAGTGAATGTGAGACCAGCAGCCATAGCAGTGATGGTTTTGTTTTTGCCCCTCTCACGTCCTCTAGAGCTGTGGGTGATGAGAAGAGCACCAAAAGCTACATAATAGTATGTGATGAGCTCGTGCTTCCGTGCAATGGCCACGGGTGGATGACGGAGCTAGGGAAATCTGGGATAAGATGCTGATGTCGTTTCCATACAAACTCTTGTTCTCTATAGTATCTATCTGTGCAAGATACAGAACTGCTTTTCATTTTTAATGTATTACAAAAGACGGCTGTAATGATAGTTTTTAAATGGTAAAATGATTCAATTAGAAGGGGTGTATTCTAGAGTCATCTGATTCTCTCACAAGAGTCCTTTCACTCATTGCATTTCAAAGGTTCCATATATTGACTTTTCCTTCTTCCAAACTAGCAGTTACATTTGTCAATAGTTGGATTAAGGAAAAGGGAGAGGCCGGGTACGGTGGCTAACACCTGTAATCTTAGCACTTTGGGAAGTCAAGGCGGGAGGATTGCTTGAATCCAGGAGTTTGAAACCACCCTGGGCAACATAGTGAGATTCCTTCTCTATTATTTTTAAATTAGAAAAAGAAGGGAAAAACAAGTCATGCTTTCTATATCATTGGGGTTTTGGATACAGTTGTGCTAACCAGGGGCTCCCCAATCAGTTAATATGTAGTTTATCATACTTATTTAAAATGTGGATATTTTGCATGTTAGTGTGGCTGACTCTGCACATACTTAGGGCTGTAAGGCCCCTACTGACCCCTGAGCCCATCTTTCCTCTCATTTAAAAGGCCAACCTATGGCTGGGCACGGTGGCTCACACCTGTAATCCCAGCACTTTGGGAGGCTGAGGTGGGCAGATCACGAGGTCAAGAGATCGAGACCATCCTGGCCAACATGGTGAAACCCCGTTTTTACTTAAAATACAAAAATTAGTTGGGCGTGGTGGCAAGTGCCTGTAGTCTCAGCCACTTGGGAGGCTGAGGCAGGAGAATGGCTTGAACCCCGGAGGCAGAGGTTGCAGTAAGCTGAGATAGCACCACTGCACTCCAGCCTGGCAACAGAGCAAGACTCCATCTCAAAAAAATAATAAATAAATAAATAAATAGCCAACCTGATGGTTTCGTAGACACATCTGTGCGTGTCTGGAGAGAACAGTTAGCTGTGGGACACCATGGAAATTCCTTTGTTTCACTTCAGTCCAAACTTCTGGTGCCTGACAGAGAAGTCCTGAATCTCTGCCACCTTCCTTGCCAACCACAAAGTCCACTCCCATTATTTGCACAAGGCTTTCAGGATCCTCCCTACACAGATGATTTTCTCCATGTGTAGGAGGTGGACCTCTTGTAAAGGTCCTTGAGAGTCTTAACTCTCAGCTTTCGATATAGCGGAAATAAAAGGAGCCAAGATTACTTCCTTTGCCTTCCAGATTATTTATGAGTGTTTTCAAGCAAACTGGAGTATGTGAGTTATTGTCACAGCCCACTCTGAAGAAATCCAGGTAAGAAAAAAAAAATTGGGCCAGGCGCGGTGGCTCACGCCTGTAATCCCAGCACTTTGGGAGGCCGAGGCAGGCGGATCACGAGGTCAGGAGATCGAGACCATCCTGGCTAACACGGTGAAACCCCGTCTCTACTAAAAATACAAAAAATTAGCCGGGCGTGGTGGCGGGCGCCTGTAGTCCCAGCTACTGGGAGGCTGAGGCAGGAGAATGGCGTGAACCCGGGAGGCGGAGCTTGCAGTGAGCCAAGATCGCGCCACCGCACTCCAGCCTGGGCGACAAAGCGAGACTCCATCTCAAAAAAAAAAAAAAAAAAAGAAAAAAAAAAATTGGTTGTAACCAGTAATCTCAAGATGGGGCAGGTTTTAGATTGTCTTCATTTAACCAGTAGATACTTAGATCTGCGGTCAGCAAGCTACAGCTCACGGGCCAAATTCGGCCACCTGCCTATATTTGCATGGCCTTGTGAACTGATAATGATTTTTATATTTTCTCATGGTTAAAAATATCAGGCAGAGCGTGGTGGTGTGCACCTGTAGTACCAGCTACTCTGGAGGATGAGGCGGGAGGATTGCTTGAGCCCAGGAGTCTGAGTTCAGCCTAAGCAACATAGTGAGACCCTGTAGCTATAAATATGTATATATGGCAACAAATACATATATATATATGATGACATGAAAATTACATAAAATCCAAATTTTAGCACCTATGAAGTTTTATTGGAACACAACCACACTCATTCATTTACATATTATCTATGGCTGCTTTCGTGCCACAAAATTTCCACATTGTCTATGGCTCTAGCTTTTGTGCTTACAATGGCAGGCTTGAATTACTGCAACAGAAACCAACATGGCCCACAAATATTTACTAACTGGCCCTTTACAGAACAAGTTTGCCAACCCCTAGTTTACGCTAATCTCGTATGTTAACAAGCAGAAGCTGGGTGCAGAGGCTCACATTTGGAATCCCAGCACTTTGGGAGGCTGAGGCGGGTGGATCACTTGAGGTCAGGAGTTCGAGACCAGCCCAGCCAACATGGTGAAACCCCGTCTCTACTAAAATTACACAATTAGTTAGGCAGGCTTGGTGGTGGGTATCTGTAATCCCAGCTACTTGGGAGGTTGAGGCAGGAGAATCGCTTGAACCCAGGAGGTGGAGGTTGCAGTGAGCCGAGATTGCACCATTGCACTCCAGCCTGGGCAAGAGAGCGAGACTCCATCTCAAAACGAAACAAAACAAAAACCAGGAAATGTATTCATTAGTAGATATATTCATCTTCACAAACATATTTGTCTGGAGGACAAAAATGCAATTTTATAAACTTTTTTTTATATTTTTATTTTTTGAGACAGGGTCTCCCTCTGCCACTCAGTTTGGAGTGCAGTGGCATGATAATGGCTCACTGCAGCCTCATCCTCCCAGGCTCAAGCGATCCTCCCACCTCAGCCTTTTCTTTTTTGTTTTGAGACAAAGTCTCACTCTTGTTGCCCAGGCTGGAGTGCAGTGGTGTGATCTCGGCTCACTGCAACCTCTGCCTCCTGAGTTCAAGCGATTCTCCTGCCTCAGCCTCCTAAGTAGCTGGGATTACAGGCACCCGCCACCACGCCTGGCTAATTTTTGTACTTTCAGTAGAGTTGGGGTTTCGCCATGTTGCCCAGCCTGGTCTCTAACTCCTGACCTCAGGTGATCCGCCCGCCTCAGCCTCCTAAAGTGCTGGGATTACAGGGGTGAGCCATCGCGCCCCGCCCCACCTCATCCTTTCTAGTTGCTGGGACCACAGGCATGCACCACCACACCAGGCTAATATTTTTAAGGTATTTTTTATAGAGTCTGTTGCCCAGGCTGGTCTTGAACTCCCAAGCTCAAGTGATCCTCCTGCTCAGTCTCCCAAAGTGCTGGGATTACAGGTATGAGCTCCCACACCCAGCCTATAAACTGTATTTTTGTGTATAGCTCCATCCAGGGCACTACCAGCTAAAGATGGGGATCCTCCAAAAGGGGAAATTGCCAAAACTCCTTAGAGCAAGTGCACCAAGGACGTAAATGAGAACAAAATCTGCTGTACATTTGGATTTCACAGTTCCTCAAAAATGGTATCCCCCATGTCTTTGACCTAGCTTACGACACACTTTGCAGACCATAGTTTTGTCTAGAAAATAGTGTTTTCTCGATCCAGTCAATTTCATGCAATATTTTCATGTTAAAATGCATTAGATGTCATTTTTGGAGCCTTAACTTAAAGTTACTCAACTCTGCTGTTACAGCATAAACTCAAATTCTATTACCACAGCCTGTGGTTTAAAAAGAGAAATTGAGGCCTGGCATGGTATCTCAAGCCTGTAATCCCAGCACTTTGGGAGACCGAGGCAGGAGTATCCCTTGAGTCTAGGAGTTCAAGACACGCCTGGGCAACATGGTGATACCGTAACTCTACAAAAAAATATACAGAATAGTCTGGATAATGGAGCCTTGGGAGAGAAAGTTTAGGAAAAAAAAAAAAGAAAAGAAAAAACAAAACAAAAAACAAGCAAACAAAAAAAAAGTGGTTGAGCATGGGGGTGCGTGCCTGTGGTCTCAGCTACTAGGGAGGCTGAGGTAGGAGGATCACTTGAGCCCGGCAAGTCGAGGCTGCAGTAAGCTGTGATATCACCACTGCAGTCCAGGCTGGGTGACAGAGTGAGACCCTGTCTCAAATAAATAAATAAATAAGACCAGGTGCGGTGGCTCATGCCTGTAATCCCAACACTTTGGGAGGCAGAAGTGGGTGGATCACCTGAGGTCAGGAGTTCAAGATCAGCCTGGCCAACATGATGAAACCCTGTCTCTACTAAAAATCCAAAAATTAGCTGAGCATGGTGGTGTGCATCTGTAGTCCCAGCTTCTCAGGAGGCTGAGCCAGGAGAATCACTTGACCAGGGAGGTGGAGGTTGCAGCGAGTCGAGATAATGTCACTGTCCTCCAACCTGAGCAACAGAGTGAGACTCCATCTCAAAAATAAATAAATAAATAAATAAATAAAAGGAAATGAAAAATAAAAAGAGAAGTTGATATGTAAATGATAACCGCTGATCACTGCAGTTGCCTAAATCCTAAAGTGTTTATCAGAGCAGGCTGACAGCTCAGACTGTCTGCAGAATGCATTCCCTTGCAGCTGTAGGACTCATGGCAGTTTGCATCTTCAAAGCCAATAAAAAGAGTAAGATTCTACAGCGAGTCACTAACACAACAGGGACCTCACAATGTGATGTCATCGTGGGAGCCATGGACATCAGCTCTGCCATGCTCTACTGGGTAGAAACAAGTCACTCAGGGGTGTGAATACCAGGAATGGGACCCAGCTTCAAAGAGGCTGCTCCAGCACGAGGTGATGGAGGCATCGCGCTGGTGCGAACAAAACATTGAGCATTAGACAGGGGACATGGCCACTGGACAG